TGCATGTAAATCAAGTTGAACTTTTAAAATTAAACTTTTGGGGAAAAAATTCCACAATAAAAAAGGTATTTGAGGCCAACTGAGTGGACTGGAAGTGCCTCAAACTTAACTTACACAAGCACATGGAATGTCAATTGGGAGCTGAAGGTAAGGGAAGCTGGTCTTATAATGGCCCATCACTTATAAGATTATTATATTAATTAGTCTCTAAGGTGCTACAGGACTACTCATTTTTTTATGGAATTTTAGCTGAACTAAATTCACTTCAAAGCTCAGAATCAAATACATCTCCTCAACTATCCAATGTCACTTTTGCGGTTATGTATTTTGATACAGGATGAGCCTCTTTAGTTTGGCATTCTCTGTTCCAGCAATATCCGTGGCCTGGCATTATTTTAGTCAACCGTATGTTCACTTATCAAGTGTGTGGCCAAGTTTCCCGTGGTCCCATAAAGTCTGTTTACAGCCACCAGTCCTGGCTCTTAGTGTTCTGTGCAGTTTAGTTCTAATTCACCCCTAAATGTCTTCCAGTAAGCAGTGAAGTGCTGGCAATGCTGTGGTCCGGCATCAGTCAGATCCCGAGGGTGCTGAACTAGAAAGATTCAACCTGTATAACTTCCTAGTAATTGGCATGTACTGATTTTTTAAAAGAGTACAGTCTCTCCAACATATGCTTGAAAACCATCTCCAAAATACTGATCCCTTTGCTTGATTCTGTCTTCTAGCCCTCTCACTTCTACATATAATTCTGCTAACTCAATTCCATTTTTTTATTATATCAATAATGTAGTAGCAGGACAGCAAACACGGTTATTCCATCAGTAGTTAAGAATGTAATCATTCACTATTATAAATCTGAATACTATGAAGTTTATAATAAACATTAATACAAACCTTCTACAGAAGATCTCAAAATTAAAATGCAAAGTTTTAATAAGGTATTTCAGTATGAGGTTTAGACCCTATATATGCACATGGTTTTCAATTTCAAAATGATTTTAATATAAATGCATACCAGCTAATCAGATACAAAAGAATGCTAATAAGCCGTTTATGCTACTCCATGTTAGGTATCTAATTTGACTCCTTACTCTTGATTTAAATATACCGTAATGACTTGATTAGGATATTCCCTAAAGCAATACAGTGCTGATAAAGAATGCCAAAATGCAGATACATTCAATATCTTGCCTCACCCACAAAGATAACATTTCAAATCTTGTAGCATGGGCATACTTAAAATCAATGTACAGTAAAAAGTATCTATTAAACATATCAGTTGCCCCTTTAAATATTAAGGTACATCAGGGAAATTGTATTCCTGTGGCTAGCTACAGTAATAATGTACTCCTTACCATACATATTTTAAAAGGCATAAATGTACACATCCTTGAATATGTAGTTTACATCATCCCAAAAAAGAGCAAAGATCTTTCCTTTATATTCGTATAATATTATACAGATGAATAGATTTCTTCAAGTAGTAAAGAGTAAAAATGTCAAACGACATTTAAAATTATGACTGGGACAACAAAATTATGGAATAAAATCTTAAGATATGAAGTATATTTTTCTGGATGAATATAGAATTTCTACAAGTTCCAGCAACGAGATATTTACATGCATCTATCAGACAGAAAGTATAATCTTAAACATTTGATTACTGTCACTTTCTCTCCACAAGCATATTAGCTAAAACTAAAGGATTAACCTTACCTTAAAATTTTAAGTTCATGTTGGCATGGTAAATTTAACTCTTTTTACAACTGTATCTAGACATACATATCCCAGAAAAGTCAATATGAACAAAAGCAAATCTGAAAAAATAGGCCAAATCACTAAACTGAAGATGGTCTATAAAAAAAAGGAAGTTTCCTAAGCTATTGTGTACTCCTTTAAGTTTACAGTTCACTGAGTAAAGTGTTCTACAATGGAAGACATGAAAAAGATGTATAAATAACAATCAGTCAATGGAAATTAGAGCAGTTATGTTACTTAGGGAAATGGCTGTATATAGCAATAGAAGTAAGAAAAATCTGCATTAGAAGTAAATGCAACAAAGGAGCTTTTCCTTAGAATTATCCATTATGAAGCCGTGCATGTTTTTATATGCTGAGAAAACTTTCACTTCTAAAAACATGCATTTTGACTTTTACAATTATAAATAAATTAGACTTACTGTTATACTTCTGTGAGAGCATTAATGAAATCAAGAAAATAAGAAAAAACACATGTCTTCAAACCAAGGCATATCTTTTGGGCAAAGTCATTAGTTCTTATTAATTCCCCCATTTACAGCAAGCTCTGTCACAGGGCAACTGAAACTAATCATGTCAAATTCAATTTGAAACTTGTACTGGACTTCAATTTTTAAACAACCAAATGACCAAGATTTTAAGGACTGAGCTGAAGAGCACAGTTTACCAAAGATATTTTAGCAACATCAAACATTCATATTTGCTGCTAGTTAAAATAAACAACATACTCATGGCATTGAATAAGTTCACTTATCCACTCTAACAGAACACATCACAACAATAGCAGAAAGAGAAAAAATAAAAATCTTAGAAATCTTGTACACAAAGAGTTTAAAATTATACACTACATTTAGAAAATAGTACATTTTTCCTCAAAACTTTTGTGAGTTGAACGCAACTTTTGATTTCTAGCTATTTCATAAAATCCTACTGGTTTTTTCCAAAATTTTAAATTTAAACCAGCAGAGAGATCATTTGGAGCCCACTGCCAATTAAACTATATTCATGCTCCTTTAAATTTTGTATGCACTGCCACCTAGTGGCACACAGCAAAGTGTCAGTCAGCATTTTTTAAGGAAAAAAACAGGCGACTTGCCTATAACTGCAAGATAAGGTTGCCTATCCAGAGCCATGCACCCACATTTTTTCCCCAATAATTTTCTAGAGGATTTTGGCCACTAGAATCACATGTATGCTTCCTCAATGCATCAAGCTCTTGGCTCCAAAACCTCAACCCTGTCCCTCCAACTATTCCATTACCCAGACTTCCCAGAAGTAGAAACACAGCATGGATCGTACAGAACTGTACAAGTAATCATCCAAAGAACTTCATTCATGGGTGGGTAGCCTATTTTCCTTCTTCAAGTACTGTTTTCACAGAGCCACACTTGGAGATTGCCAAGTAGTAATACTGGCCCTGAGGAAGACAGAACTTAATACAAATATAATTACTCTTTCAAATTAATTATCAAATCTTCAAGACCTGTATGAAGATTCATGGCTCTTAGTTATGGACAAAGCTTCAGGCAGCAGCTCTGTTATTACAGAGAGGTTTCTGAGATATAATATAGTAGGTGGCTTAAATCTTGTATTTAAACTCCTTGCAAGTGAAGACCCAATTTAAGAAAACAAAATAATTGTGTCTCTTCACTAAAACAGCTCAAGTTATTACACTCAAGCTAATATAGCTCTAACAAGAACTGCCCCACTGTGGCATAATATTTGAGCTACACAGATTGATTGGATTGGCATCTAATAAGTTCTCAAGCTTGTAGCCTGTAGCTGCATCCCCAATGTATTACTAGTTCAAGCATCAGCAGTACATGAGCTTCACAACCAATACTCCTTGAAGGTATGCTTACAATGCATTGCAACCAATAGTACGTCTCCTAGTCAGTATACACCTATGCTAGAAGTGTTTGAACTAGCACATTAAAAATAGCATAGTGAATATCACAGCTCCAGCAGCAACTTGGGCTAGCCTCTTGAGCTCAAACGCAGGGAATCAAAAGCAGACTTGAGAACCCAACCTGTCTAAGCCACAACAGTCACACCACTATTTTTAATGTGCTAACTCAACCTCCAAAAGTTCCATTCTATCTATCCATAATGGGAGATTTGTTAATAGCAGTAGCATAAGCATATCCTGAGGGGCCAGCAAGCTTGAGTTTAAAGCACCATTTAACTTAAGCCAGAATATGTCTATACTACACAACTTTTCGTGACAAGGCTGAATCACAGTCCTGTCGCTACAAGTCAGCATGTGTGAAAGCTTTTTGTCATAACCTTTGTTTATAAAATACTTCCATCCCCAAAAAAGGGGGTTGGCTTTG